TTGAAAACTACCTGAAATGTGCTGAATTCAATAAATTGTACGAGAAATATAAATTAACAGAAAATATTATAGTTCCAAAGCAGTGTATTCACAATTTTTGTTTTTATGACGTCACAAACTAGTCTGATTTTATATCCTTTTTCAGAAAGAGGACAAAATGGACAAAATTTCAAAATTTTAGCTTTAAAAGTTATAGAGCGCATGTGTGTTCAGGAACAATATTGACATATTTCATTGATATTATCATTCTACACATTATATCAAAATATTTATCCTGAACACGCATGCGCTCGGTGACTTTTATTTAAAATATCGACGAAATATGTACATTTTTCTGTAAAATTCATAAAAAACCGAAATTTACGTCATATTTGTGACGTCATTACATACATATGACGTCATTACTTATGAAATTATTCAGTGCTTTGAAGTCAGCATATACTCCCCTGTTTAAGGACTTAATTAAATATTACTCCATCAAAGTTTGATTTGGGGGGCAAATATTGGTTAATACCGCATAAAGTTCTTTGTGAGAGTGCAAGGATATGTCAATCAAACCCGCCGAAAAATTTGAAATTTCAATATCTTTTAAACGAAATAAGATTTTTAATTAATTTTTGTGTGAAATGCTATTAAAATATATAAGTCGTAATATTATAGAGAAAATAATAACTTCAAATCTGTGTCCAAGTACCTTTAAAGGTCTTTGCCCCCAAAGACACCAGCCCACATCTTTCCTGGTAGATCTTATCCAACATCCCCGAGGCACCAAATGTAATGGGAGAGAGAAAGATGCAGTGGACCATACTAGGATTCAATGGCTACACTAGGAATCAAACCTAGGACCTCTGCATAACAAGTCAGTGCTCCAACCACTAATATCGGGGCAGAAATCCAGTCATGTAGCCTATACAACTTCACAGGCAAGAACATGTTAAAGTTTAATTTAGTTTCAATCAAAGTTCAGAACTATATCTTGCCATGAATTCATGTGTTGTACATAAATGTGATCTTGACCAGAATCATTGAACCCCAAAAATAAAGTAATTGGAAGTATCGAAATCATATTCCCACCAAGGAATGAATATGTGCAGATCGATGATAAAAGATATGCAAAACAATATCGAAATTTTTTAATTAATTAGTAAAAATTAGTACACGTACATGTACTTCAATAGTTTCAGTAGCGTATACATAAGCATAACATTACACAATTAAATATATGCTCAGTAATCTATTCACAACTTTTATTTTATAAATTAACCATGAATCTTGGCAAGAAGAATGTAAAGATAATGTCAATTTATACATGCTACTTTACATAATTCAGCCAGTGTGTGGAAAAAGTATAAACAATTAAATTCAACACAAGATACCAATCCCCCCCTTCCCACTATGATTCTGCTTATTTATTGTCCACAGATTGAGATGTGGGTGTTCTAAGTCCTACAAGGTTGGCACTCTCTTCAACAGATCTTTCTGTAGTTTTGTATCTCTGTGCTAATTCCTGAAAAAATATTTTGAATGTAGAAATAAATTTCTAAAAACAATTCTTTTTTTTTTTTGCATATAGCAGAAAAATTAATATCAATTAGTTCTAATCTAATTCAATGGCATATATTTCAGTGAATGTGTATTGGCAATCTATTTGATTGGTTAAATAAAAAAGACTGTCAGATTGCACACCTGTGAAATACAAAAACTGAAATCGAGATCAGACTACCTAAGTAATTAGAATATATTAATATATTGACAATAATATATGTTTAACAAAAGAACAGAAATAAATTAAAATCTCCAAAATACATATAATTTTATGTTTTGAAACAACAAAATAACAAACTTTACTGGATATACATGTATATATACAGTAAAACTTGTTTAGAACGAACACAGATATTGCAAATTCACGGATATAAAGCAAAGTAATTTCATAGGTCCCAGTGACTTCGCTATAACCAAGTTTTACTGTAGTACACAGATTGTTGAGATATTTTACCTCTGATTTTCGCAGACTCTCCAGCATACAAAGATAGGTCTGTCCTACCATCATCACCTCATTCTGTCCCTTACATAACTTCTGACTTGTAACTTGGTGTTCTCTAAACTGGCTCACTATGTATCGAAATGCAGGTACGTCAGCTAATTTCTCCTGCAAAACAAATATGTGAGGAGGGCATAAAACATGGACCCCTGGAAATTCCAGATGTGGGATCAGGTGCCTTGGGGGAGTAATTACCCCCTGTTGACCAGTCATACTCGTCAAGAGCCTTACGTATTGATCAAGAAGATGGAACTATCCCTAGTCAATTCAGTATAAAAACAATAGGCCTTACAGGTGGTATAAAACAAATCTGCCTATACCACCCAATGATAGGTCATATTTCTTCAAATGAGGCTGCTGAAATCCCTCTAACATCAACTTATCAGTGAGTATCCTGTCTTACTTTAGAATTAATTTGATTGTACTCAGGGCAAGCTTTTGAGTAGCTTATAAGTTGGAGATGCAAAACAGAGAGTTATATTATTACTTTTCACGATTATACAGTTCAATAAAATTTTCTAGGTATAATATTCACAGTGTTTTCCCTAAGAACTGGCTACCGGCCAAATTGACCGCTTCAACTGACAAAAATGCCGCTTTGAAATAAAAATTTGTTGTTAGGTCCACAGAGATTTTGTTCATAAACCTCAGCCTCTAGCCTGTTACAACTTATCTCTAATCCTTTACTTTGAAATAAAGGGAAAACACTGTATTCAAAATCACAGCTAAGTCTATAGGCTTACCTTGCAACACTACTCACTATAGGGTTACCTTGAAACACTACTCATATAATCGTAACAGGAGAGGAAAAAATGCAGCGGACCAGACCAGGATTCGAACCCAGGCCCCCTGAAACTCTGGTCAGGTGCTCTACCGACTGAGCCATCTGGCCTCCGGCGATCGAACCCGGCTGACCACCACATTCGTCCCTCCTTAAAGGTCTTTGGCCCCCAAAGACTCTAACCCAGGCTCATTCCTGGCAGGCCTCTATCCTGGTCACGGCACCAAATGTAATGGGAGAGGAGAAAATGCAGCAGACCAGACCAGGATTCAAACCCAGGCCACCTGAAACTCCGGTCAGGTGATCTACCGACTGAGCTATCTGGCCTCTGGCGATCGAACCCGGCTGACCGCCACATAATAAATAAAGATAAAATAATCATAACCCTGTTAATATTTATTAAAACAAGAGGCTCATGGACCACAGCCCTCACATGAGCACCGTGGCTAGGAAAAGAGAAGAATTCAGTTTTGAAAAGTTAATTGGAGATAATTCGGGCTGTAAACTAAAAAGATGTACAAGTTTGACTTTGAAGAAAAATTACTGTTAATTGACATTCTTATTAACTGAAAAAATATGGCTTAGTATACAATGCATAAAACTCACCTTTGAATTCACTGTTTCTTGCAATTCACGGCGTAATCGTTTGAAAAGCAGACGTCCCAAGTTCACTTTCTGTTGATTAGCCATGTTTTTATTCAGGGACGGGATAAAAGTAGGGTATGGGGTAGTTCAGTAAATATTCAAATTTTACTTATAAATGAATCACCTCCATTTAAGTAGGAAAAATAAAAACTCTTTTTTGGGGGGCTCATGTCTGAGATATTGATAAAAATAAAGTAATGTAATGAATTCGGAAAGTCAAATGTCTTGGTTGTTCCCCGGTATATTTATAGGACTACTTTTACCAGCCTCATCTCCTCAAGTGCTGAAAATAGAAATGAGTTGTACTGAAACTTTCTGACTAAACAAATGGCAGAGGGGGGAGAAGAGAGACTTCCAGACTTGTACGAGACGGTTTGGTCTTGTTGGGAAAAGCTGGACAGCACGGAGGAACCGTCATCCTCATACAATGTTCAGGTAAACGCGAATGTTTCTCTATTTCGAATTTTCTCAGTTCATGTTTTGTTTTATTTAGCTGCATCAGATTCCAACATGATGTATTGGCGCTGCATCTGAAGTAACCTTGTTTAAGAGGAACTGAAGTTGATATTATCAATGATGAGTTTTTATAGAAAAGGAGAAATAATTTATTTCATATATGGTACCTAATGCTTTGAACATGTTGAATATTGGAAATACTAATTAAACTAAGACTATAGCCATTTTTATTTCTTAAAGAAAACAATCATCACAGGAATAACAGCTGGAATGAAGGCCATTAGAATGGTGAATGAGCTCTGTCTGTTCAGCAGTAATGAAGAGATTGAAGAGGTCGCAACAAATGAAATAAAGTAATTCACTTTAAGATGATTGATGCAATTTGTACTTGATACTAATAGATGTCTCCAGTCACTTAATTTGCTTATACTGCATAAACTAGCTGTCACAACTCAGATTATAACATAAAAATTGGAAGCTATTAAATTGGATTTTTGTCACCTGTGAGAATTATTAGCTCACCTGCTCCGAAGGCTCAAGTGAGCTTTTCTGATCACATTTTGCCCATCGTCTATCCGTCTGTCCTTCTGTCTGTCTGTCTGTCTGTCCATCCGTCCGTCTGTCTGTCTGTCTGTCCGTCCGTCTGTAAACTTTTCACATTTTCGACTTCTTCTCAAGAACCAATGGGCCAATCTTAACCAAACTTGGTACAAAGCATCCTTGGGTAAAGGGGAGTTTAAATTGTTAAAATGAAGGGCCAAGTCTCCTTACAAGGGGAGATAAACAAGAAAAGACAAAAATAGGGTGGGGTCAGTAAAACATTCTTCTTCTCAAGAACCACTGGGCCAGGAAAGCTGAAACTTATGTGGAAGCATCCTTGGGTAGTGTAGATACTAAATTGTTAAAATCATGACCCCCGGGGATAGAGCGAGGCCACAATAGGGAATCCAAGTTTTACATAGAAATATGTAGAACAAATCTTTAAAAATCTTCTACTCAAGAACCACTGGGCCAGGAAAGCTGAAACTTATGTGGAAGCATCCTTGGGTAGTGTAGATATTAAATTGTTAAAACCATGATCCCCGGGGGTAGGGCGGGGCCACAATAGGGAATCCAAGTTTTACATAGAAATATATAGAACAAATCTTTAAAAATCTTCTTTTCAAGAACCACTGGGCCAGGAAAGCTGAAACTTATATGGAAGCATCCTGGGGTAGTGTAGATTCTAAAGTTTTAAAATCATAAAAGGGAAGGGGGTAGTGGGGCATGATAGGTATAGAAAGAGGGGGAATCTGGTAAAGAACTGCATCACCCAAGTTACTCAGGTGAGCTATGTGGCCCATTGGGCCTCTTGTTAAATATACAATCATTGTATAACAGTCAACTATTTTGCCAGAAAATAAACACTAAATAGTAAATAACATATTTGGGTGAAATATGTATCGGTATAATGTACATGAAATGACATCACAAATCAGCTTGGCCATAAAGTTATTATCTGCCATGTCATCATATACAAATTTACAAGCAAACATATATTTGGATAAAAACGTCACCCTCTAAGATAGTAAATATAAATAGTAAATGGTATCTTGAAATAATAATGTATGATTAATGTAAAATTAAACTTTTAGGTACCTTTTGTTGCCAGCCTTTGTAGGATATTTCACAGAGAGGAAAACGGTGAAAAAAATGGAGGATAGAGAAGGTCTAGTAAAGGAAGCAACTGTAAGTCTAAAGAAAACTGAAATTTGTTGTAAAATATGAAAATCAGAAATTTACCATTTTTGCTTTATTATTTGATTGAATGATAGGCTAAAAGTTTTTGAGGAAAGTAAGTCATCAGTCTGGTTGTCTTGTTCTTGGGGGGAAAAATTCAGTTATTCTTTAGTTTTTTTCAAATGTAATATACTGATTCTATTTGTCATGTTGTACCTTGTAAGTACATGCAGTAAGCAAAAAGAGATCCATAGTATACATGTACCAGCCTTTTCAAAGGTGATAATTCCAACGAGTTCCTTGGAATTTATTATCTTACCTGCTTTAATTTTGAATTGTCACATTATACATATTTAAACCCCAGATCTGCTGTTCCAAACATTGAGAATAAAAGAACCTTCATCTGTTTATATTTTTTATTCCAGGCATATTACACAGATTTCCTTAGAAACTGTGACAGTTATGGAGTAGCTAAAATTGATAAGAAGCTTTTGAATTTAACATCTGAGAGTCAGCAGAAAGCCATGTGTCCAAACGGGTAATCATTTACTTTATTATTAATACATTGTATCTGATATTAAAATAGTTTTCTAATCTTAAAAACATGTGTCCATACACACATACATGTATTTATTTTATTGATTTAACACTTGATATGTTTTAGACCTCCACAAGGACTAGCTGGTCAAATGCAGACCAGAGAGGAGAAGATCAAAAGTTTTAAAGAAAAGAAAGAGCTTGATGCCAAAGTGACAGAACTCCATGAGAAAATGAAGCAAGAACATGTAGATGATGAAATAAAGGTTACATTCTTTCCATGTAAAGTGATATTGTGTGTTTGGGCTCAGTATATTTTAAATAACTGTATCTTTACTTAATATTTTGATAACTTTACTTATATAACCCCAATATGCAAATTATTTTAAATGTAGTTATGTAAATCACTTACTTTCGTGATGCCAAATTTTTGTGTTTTAAGGAAAAATGTTGGTACAATGAGATTTGATTTCATAGGGTGAAGGGAGGATTTTTATACTGTTCTGTAGAATTTAAAAATGGGGGGACATGAAATTGTGGGTCTCTCCATAACATGAAATGAACAAAAACTAAATCCCAGTGAAAGTTAGTGATTTCACGGTGAATTGATATTCATAATTTCAATTTCTCGCATTGAGATGGGGAGTTTCAACAGTTGAAATTTTAGCATCTTGAATATGAACTGCAAATTTATGGCAAATTTTGTATCTCTGATTTAGTTTTCTTATACTTCTTTCTATGTAGGATTTATTGTGTTTATTCTGATTACAGAGAGAATACTTCTTGGGTTTAATTAAACAATGGGTTGGAACTGCAAAAGAGAGTCTGGAATCTCTCCAGGGTAAATGTCATTAAGTGAAGAAATTGAATATAAATTTCTGGATGCAGATATATATAAATATATTCCACAATTAGGATGAAAGTATAACCCCATGTTTCTAACATAGCAGTGAAGATTCTGAGTAATGCTGAATTTATTGTATTCTGCAGTTGAGACTACCATGTTAGGCCTGCGGCATCAAGCGTTAGATGATAAACCTCCAGAAAACAAACCTAAGGAACAGAGGAAGGTATCCTATCCAAATTTATCATGAATTTCTTTTTGAAGACCGAGTTCACAGGCTCTTGGGCCATTAAACCTTGACAAGCTCACTTTTTGATCTTGGTCTCACTTTCACAAAAGGAATTTATTGGGAGGAAGATGAAAAAGACCAGAAAATTTCTTGAGAAGGTTGGAAATTTATTTCTTTTTAACCTTTAACAGGCATTCCGTCCATTCATCATCACTAAAGACATGATTCAGAAGGCAGTGTTTGGAGCAGGTTATCCCAGCTTACCCACAATGACCATAGAGGAGTTTTATGAACAGAAAGTCAAAGATGGCACCTTCCATCCTCCTACATCACAGTAAGGATTTGTCTTAATAGATCATTTCTTAAAGGGGGACAACTCTGCTTGTCATCAATAAAACAAGGTAGTTTGGAATGTTAATATGTATCAGAAGTCAGAAGGCATGCAGATGACATGGTCTGGTCTCATGATAATAGGAAAAACTGGCATAATAATAGCATAATAATTTTGTTGATGTGAAGAGATTGTGCATTTGAAATGGATTTGAAAGTCTACTGAAAACCATTGATGCAAAATGTGGGATCCTTTTATTGTTGCAACTCACACTATCTTTCATTTCAGTTCAAACATGTAGGGAAACTTAAATATTCAAACAAAAGAAGAAAAATTTTTGGTTAATAACTTTCTAAATTTAATATTTTGCCTTTAAAGTAATATATACTTTACTGTATAATATCTCATTAAAGTTATTTTTGGTTTGTTGAGATAGAAACAGTGCAATGATATCATTTGGTTGAGGGCATATGTATTGCAGTGGGCAAAATATTTTTTCCCAATAGATTCTCGTCACTGAATGACATCATTGTTATACAGTTTGTATTACATTGTCAGGCAGTCCATTTAATGCATCACTGATACTGTATACATGTACAGCTGTCTGTTTTGTGGGTTTTAGGGGACACAGTATGCAAGACTGGGCGAGCGACCCCGACAAAGATAAAGAGGCCCAGGAGAGGGAGGCCGAGGAAAAAGAAAATAAGATCGAACAAGACGACCCTGAGGAGCTACAGAAGGCCAGGGCAATGGATGACTGGAAAGATGGTAAAATAATATTATAAACATGTTCTTCTCAAGATTATTAATTTTACTAGTTTATATAATGAGTGGGTAACTGATAGAGTATTTTAGTTTTTTAGTTTTCATGTGTTATAATTTTCCTATTAAAATAAAGTTCTTACTGAATCTGTTATCAAGCCATCATGGGGTAATGGGAATTTTTTAAAAAC